CTAGCTTTATTATAGTATTTGAATAGAACATGTGGCAACGATTAGATAATACTATTCTTCAAATGATATAAATTTTTCGCATTCTGAATTATAATATGAATTATAATATGAATGTTGCTATGATAAACAAATAGAATGAATTTTAAAGAATGCATTTATTCTATTGTGGTTTATGCGCTGTCGGCGAAGTAGATTTAATTCGGTCCAATAAGTTTAAATGAAATGCAAGAAAAATGCGTATAATTTAATATTCCGTACAAGGAAGTCACGTGGTGTACACATCAGATTTTTTTATTTAACCATCCTTAAAAATTCTGTAACCGTTTTTGCTAAACAGTTCTTTCTTCAGATTTCCTTCTCTGTCAATTCTAATAGTCTAAGATCAAATATCATTTTCCTTTTCTTCGAAAGGGGAATGTTAATTGCTCTTGTTTCGCTTAGTTACTTATTTGTTTCCTTATCATTTTAAAATTATTGAAAGTTTCACTTAGGTTTTTACATAACATTATTCTAAAATAGGTGCGTTGACAGAAAATCGGACTTTTTCTGAAATGGCATGCCAATTTTTTTCCATATTTCAATTCTACGACTGAAATTATGCGTAAATGTTACATTTTGTAAAATTTGGTGAAAAGTGTGTCGAGAATTAAAAAAAAATTATTTTAGCCTATGTTTTTTTTAGTTTGCACCAAGAATAATGTGCACAAAAAGATTCATCGTTCATTTTTTCAAATAATTTTAGCAAAGTATTTAAATCACATTTGGCATTCTGAGTTATACCGATTATGTCAAATTTCAAAATGCACCATTATGTGAATTTACTTTTTTTTTCAAATGACAGATTATGAACAATTACAAATATAACCCAGTCCATTAATGTTTACAAGGCCAGATGTGGTGGTCTCTTTGTTATGGAGGCACCTAATAGGTGGGCCATCATAGCTTTTTCTATGAAGCGACGGACAGTTACAGCCACTGATAAGTGAACGCATATCTTTATATATATATGCGGCTAAAGTGTGTGTCGCCGTTAGTTTACTATTGCCACTCGGAAAAATGAGCGCGGAAATTAACGTTTCCGCAGTTTTCAAATAATATCTCAGCCGATTAAAGTCGTACGAAGATGAGAACGGTATCGATGAATTCGGAGAATTTTTTGGAATCCGAGGATATGCGTCTGGGATTTTAACTCGGCGCCGTTCCGTAGATATTCGAGAAAATAGAATTCGGCACGTAGCCAAATCCCTCTAATAGGGAAAACCCAAGAACGAAAGTGGAAAACGTAGGGGAAAATTAGTTGTTAATTAATATCTCGGCTAATTAAAGTCCCAAGAAGACGCGAAGGGTCAAAATGGCGTGGTGCGGACCTTCGGAATCCAACGGTGTGCTTCGCAAAGCCCAGGAGCCAGCCGTTTCGGAGGAGATGATGTTACTTGACCCATATATATATATATATATATATATGCGGCTTAAGTGTCTGTTTGTCGCCGATAGTTTATTGGTTGCTTGCGTAACTGTACTAGCCAATGGGGTGAAGTTGCCACGACACAGAGTTGCCGTTTCAGTTGAGAAGTAGACAATGTCCTGTAAAACTTACCTTTGCCATAAGTCTCAGGGTCAAACGCTTAAGAGTGTTGGCGTTTTTTTACCGGAGCCTGCATTTGGACACGATCAACTTTATGTTGCCTGTTCAAGAGTTCGTGAAAGAATGGACGTAAAATTAAAAATAATGGATTGGTCCTCAGCAAGGCGAGCTTAAAAAGGATGGAAAGATCTACACAAGAAACGTTGTATAGAAAGAGATCATTTGACACGTGAATTAACATTTTATTATTTAAATCACCTTTATGTATTGAGCTAGCGGTGGCTCTTAAGAAATATACCGCCAATGGTTTCCTTTATTGCACTCTACTTTAAACAATTAAGGAAGTAGAAGGGAAAAACCCCGTGGGGCAGTAAGCAAAGGGACGTCCTCGCCGCCTGCCCTAGGTAATTCAGTTTAAATGAGCAGACACCTTTGCACAAATCATTTTAATTGCAATTTATAATATCTAAAACAGCGGTCATTTCGTTTGACCGCCTGGCCTTCTAGTAATAAATAACCAGCATTCATTTGGTAAAGTATCAACAATGTAATGTATCATAGTATGTAATTCATGTAAACTAATTATTGTAAAAACACACGTAATTGCATACAATGAACTGTCAAAAATAAGTTGGCAATGTATTGGTAAAATGTATGCAGATATAACTAAGAGTACGTATACGTATGCAGATGAAGCTATTTTTTTCTTTTGTTTTCAGACTTATTTATTTATGTCTTTTTTATTATTTTATATTTTCTATTTTTGACAGCTGTTTGTAAAAAAAAATATGTAAACAAGTCATGATTGTAGGCATAATCTATATACTAGAAATAAGTTGCCTCTAGCCACATCAATTTATAATGTCATGATCAATTTTTACATGCAAATAACAATGTACTGCTAGACAATAATGTAATTTCTGAACATCAATTAACACTAAAAACATACGTAACAAACAGCACATAATGAATCGTCAAAATTGAGCTGTTAAAGTTTCAGCACAACTTGACAACAGTACTTAAATGTAAGCTTTGTAAACAATTTTATAGTTCTTAATTAATTCTGATAGTAAACAGATTATGTTTACAAAAATGATTTGTAACGTGGGAACATCCCGCCTGTTTCTAATGCAATATACGAGTATAATGTCCTGGAAACATATTGCCTGTACCCACTAACAGATAACATCTTCAAAATATGCACCTGCACAACTATGTATTTCTCAATGTCTATCATGTAATTCAATCCTTTTACTTGAGCTAATTTAACGCTGAAAGGAAGGAGTACCGTTGATGCCGCCGCCGGTGGCAGTACTTATAGTACTCACTGGAGTCACATTTTCCATCACGACTGGAGGAATGATGCCAGAATGTTGTCAGTTTTTTAGTTACTGTGTGACGCTAATACCTGCTTACTTAGGGTAAATATTAGGTGGCTCCCTCAATTCTACATAACATAACATAACATGCCTTATCCGGGATTCGAACCCAGAGTCTTCGGCATCGCAGTCAGCTTTCCTGACCACTATAACGAGTGGGTGGCATATGAATTTACTTATATCTCGGAAAATTTTTAATAAAAAGCTACAAAGTTTGCAGGTGTCCCTAAACATAGATCTACTTTAAGGTGATGGTAAAAGTTTTATAGGTTATAGTTTTAAAATGTTTTCGAAAATTTATAAAAATTACTAAAACATACAACTTTTAAAATAAATTAGAAAATATCTGCTAATTTTACTTGGATTCAATCTAAATTTCGAACTGTGAAAGAAGGAATAAGGTAAGTTTAATAAAATGAGAAATATTAATAAATATATGTCAAACTCAATTAAAACTGAGGAACTAAAATTTTGACAGCTAAACTACTAGTGAAATTTTTACAAATCTAGGCATTTTGGCATAACTTGAGTCGTAGGATCGAACTATGAAAATAAATCGATATGTCGTTCCACAAAATGTCTGATTTTTTAGCCACAATACCCATGTTAGAATAATGTTAGTTGTAATTCTAATATGTATCTTGGGTCGTGCTTTCGAAACATGAAAACCCCCAAGTCAAATTTTATCAATCGGCCCAGTAGAACGGAAGATATAGAACTGCCCCACTTTTTTGTATGTAAGGTAAGGCGCATACTGCAGTCAGGTTGTTAAATCATTTACACAAAGTTTAACACAAAGAACGAAACAGACGTAAATTGCATAAATAGTTTTATTTAGAGACAATATAATAAAAATAATATATATAACACAAGCTGGAGTAAAAAACTCTGACAAACGTATTCTACTATCATAGGTGCTGTTTTAGAAATGTAATAATATAGACAATCTTTTTTTCACACTCACACCTTCTACAAAACATGTATCGTATAAAATTTACAGTACGCAACATAAATAAGATAATTTTCCCTAATTTGTTTCAATAAATGGCACGAATGTATAGTGAAGAACAAAAAAATTCGTTGTGCTACCATGATGTTCCACAAAAGCCCACAGCTTCATGTTGCAAAATGAAGTATTTTCCTTGAAGAATTAGTATGAGGAAATAAGGAGAGTGAAATAAACATTCAAAATTCCAAAATACAATCTGTATAACGTCACAAACAGTTTCAAAAGCATGATAAGTTTAAATTTAAGCGCAGAAGAATATGCATTAGTTCTCTTTCTAAGAAAAATGGCAAAAGAAATTAAGAAACTGTATCTGATATAAATAGCCTAACCGTAGAACAAGACATCCTAAAGTCTAGATGGATTTAAGTTTTGAGAAGATTCAAAATTCTGGTTAAGCAAAAGAATGAAATATTTACAGACAAATCTCTGAAATGGATACAGAAGCATTCCCTGATCAAACATCATTATTCTTTTCGTTCCAGTCCATAATCTGTCTATATTCATAATCTGTGATAGAGTGTCGTAATTTTCTTAAGGGGACTCATATACCTTAAAACCCATAAGATGTTCGAATAGGTGACTGTTGCAAGAATTGGGATAATTTATTTATTTTAAACGTAATTACTACCAACTTTTTACAGCTGACTACATAATATAGCTGCTTTCTGAAATAGTAATGAGAAAGTTTGTGTTGCCACAAATATTTTTATAATTTAATCCGCTTTGTGACAACAGTTTTCGTCATGTTTCCAACTTGCTCGCACAGTTTAAAACATTCTGTTTCATAATTTAATTCCATATATAATATATAGCTTTTATAACATTTGGAAACTACCGTGAACCTAAAATTCTAAAAATTTCATGTTAAATTTTTATTTTATTTCGAGTTGAATTTATAAAATGTATTTTATTAAAAAAATTTGTAATGTTTTCGTCCATAAAATTTTTCAGTATTAAAATATTCATCAGATTGTTGGTTCAGTTAGAAAATAGTGCCCATATAAAGAATTCCATAAAATTTCAAGTATGTACCATTAGGCCATTTTTAAAATATCATGCGCGCAAGGTGGAAACATAGCGAAATATTTTGTCACAAAGAGGATTAAATTGCAAAAATATTTGTGGCAACACAAACTTTCTGGTTACTAGTTTTCAGAGCAGCTATGTTATGCAGTCAGTTGTAAAAGGTTGGAAGCAATTGCTATTAAAATAAATAAAATATCCCAATTCTTGCAACAGTCACATATTCGAAGATCATGAGGGGTTTAAGTTGTCTCTTCAACCCATTCGATTGATGCCTTCTCGTGTGTTCTTCAACAACAAAGGCGCTGCTCTTTGTATGTCTTCTTCGTCCAAAAAGTTGAGTTCGGTATCTTCAGCATTAATCCTGTCATTGATGCTATAGAAGTTGGTAGCCTCGGAACAGGGCACAGCATCTTCAGGATCGGAGCAAGATAATGTGAGCTGGTTAAAGATGGTTTGGTTGCCGCAAAGGAAGGACCATTGCTGAATGTTCCTTGAGCCATCCTCACTCTCGACAGTGTGACACACGTGGAAGATTTGACACTCGTTGTCTACATCAGCGTAGTAACCATCGTAGAAGCAAGAGAATGTTGTTTTAACTGGACCCACTAAAATGTCAGCACTGTCAGGAAGGGCAAAGGCCTCGCGTTTTCCTCTCTGAAAAAGAATTTTCTTTACTTCGCAAGGTAATTAGAATAATAAGGAACCAAAGATTTCTCAGGTCTTTTAACTTTTATAGAAAATACATAAGAAATAATTGAGAAATGATTTCTTCGTTGATTTACTTTTATTCCTGATATTAAAAGTTTTTTAAAGAAATTGCATCGAAAAATTAACCACTAACCAACCATTAACTTAAATATTTCGCCCCAAAATCTTTTTTTAACGTTTTCTGTGTTACTTTTATTTATTAAATATCATGTTCTTCGTACTTAAACCATAAAATTCAATTCAACAGCAATATCTAAAATAATTTAAAAAGAAAATATCTTTAGAATTTCCGATATACAGTCTCAGTATCGCGCGCTAGATAAAAAAAAAAAAAAATATTTGGGGAGGGGGTACAGTGTTACCATTGCTCGTTTGAAATCGTTGAGGTTGTTAATCAAAATCTCATAAACGTTTACAAAATATGAAATAGATAAAAAACAAATTCCAAATTTCGGCTTCCAGATGCCCACATTCGAGTACAGGACTACGTTATTCAAATTTGGATGGCTCTAAGTACCGTTGTTTTAACGCAATGCGAGAAACATGCAAATAATTTTGCAGGTTCTTCATTATTTAATTTCTCTAAATATAATGCAACGGCTATGATATCTGTGAGAACAATTTGAAAAATAAAACGCCACAAAATGCCAAAACGAAACTAATAGGGGCTAACGACCTTTTGGGCTTAAAAGCGAATTCCATCTTTCTCCTTGTTCCAGTTTCTGCTTTCATTTGTATTGCACTGTAAATTTCATTTAGTTTCTAACCAGTTATTTATATTAGTGAATTTTCCTATCCTCCTCTTTTCCATTTTCCTGGTGAGAATGTAAATTTCTGGAAGTATTTAAAGGAAGGTTTTAGAGGGTAGAATTAAAGCGTGTTCCACTTGCTGAAAGCCACGTTGCTAATTTCGATTCTCCTGAAAGTAGTATTTTGCGGCGTTCCATTATTCTTGCCATTAGGCTTTTTGTGCCAAATTTTAGGGCAAAGCTAGTTTGCGCATAAGTGTAATTTTGTAACCTCTATGCTAACTTACTTTACTTAGCTAAGTAAATTTAAGTATTTTTGATTTAAGCCTTAACTGCTGGCTATATTCTGTAAGCAGAAGTAGTGCCATCTGTAACTTTTATTTGAGTTAAATAAAGGGTTTCTTAACACCCTTTCTCAGTCTCTTTGGTACGTTTACAAGACATAGTGATAATTCCCTTCTCTTCTTGAAACTTTTCGCACATTATATTGTTACGAAATGAGCAGGCGCGGTAAGATGGCTTCCCCGCAAAGCAGTTTTAGGGTTGCCATAAAATGGCAAAGGAAGGCAGGGTTTCCACATTTGGCGAGAAATCACCCATTTGGAGACAAAATCGGCAATACACCATGGACGGTTGGAAGGACCTTCTGGAACGAATTCTTACTGGTTTAGTCCAGAATTTTCTCCGAACACAAGCCGGAAGCTATATAAACCGTGCTGGTCTGCAGTCAGCAAGTGTGCTTCATCGTGAGGAAAAGAGGTGTCTCTCATCGAGTGAGTATGTCTTGTCTAGCGAGTCGATCCCTGCGGAGGCGATCGCGTTGACAGTCGGCCAGCGAGTGGGTTGTCAAGTCCGACCGAAGGTGTCTCATAGAGTATCGTGGTTAGTGCATCGTCGAGAGAGCGTGTTGAGCTCCGAAACGACTGAACCGAAGAGTCAGGAGCTGTGCTCTCGTGTGTCGTCAAGTGCATCGCGCGAGTTGTGGGTGGAGAGAGTCTCGAGAGTACGTGAGTTCCGGGAACGACCAAGTCAGAGAACAGCAGAGTCGGGTGCTTTGCAGGAAGCTGTCTCCACCGTGAAAGCCTGATAACCTGAAGGCTGTGTCGCTGATAGTATCAGCGTGTTTATAGTAGATCTTCTGCGACTGTAAAACGGGTTTTGGAGCTGTCCTGACAATACTGACTAATAAAGTGTGTTTCGATACTTCATTAAGTGTCGTCATTATTCACTCCAAATCCACACGAACCCCGTACCGAACGTAAAGGAAGAAAATAACGTAACAATAATTTTCCAAATTATTATTACCACATATTTACCTTTGGTGTTGCATATGCTGCAGCAAATAGCACAATACCTGTAAAGAAATAAGATATTAAATTCATTCAAAAATAACGCTGAAACTTTTGTTATCTTATAATTTATAAACGAAAGTAATATTTTATTATTCCTGAATAATTAACTTACTTAAAAGAAGAAATTTCATGATTACGCCTTTTGTCAAAGAATGGAAAAGCTGTAAAAAAAAGAAAGAGCTATTAAAATCATAGAAAAATATCTTTTATTTTCTAATAATTCTGAAATTTCGAGTTAAAATATCGAAGGAAACTGATGCCAAGTTTTGCTAGCGATATCAAGTATCATTTCATGCGTATATACATAGTCCTCTCTCTTTAAAATCTCAAGTGAATCGAAAAGATAATCCCGATAAAAATTTAATGGCGGCACTAAATATTTGTTGTTTTAAGTCATATATTTTTAACCCAAATTGAGTTAGCTCAGAAGAGATATTAATTTCGTTTTGGCATTTTGCGTCGATTCACTTTCTGTGTTGATTTACTTTTGAAACTGTTGCCACCAACTATTACAGCGCTGTGTTATATTTTAAAGAAATGAAATAATGAAGAATCTACATAAATGTATGTATGTTTCTCGCACCGTGATAAAACAACAGTACAATTTTGAATCCAATTTTGAATAACCTAATCCTCCAGCGAATATGAGCATCTGAAAACCCTAAGTTGGAATTTGAAATTTGTTTTATTATCGATTTCATATTTTGTCAGATATTAAAGAATTTTTGATTAGGAAACTCAACGATTTGAAAGTAAGGAATGCCCCCTCCAAGAAGAAAACCTTTTTATCTCGAACGCGCGGGACTATGCATCGAAAATTCTAAAGATATGGTCATTTTAAAATCATTTTGCGATATTCCTGTTAAATTGAATTTTTATGGTTTAAGTGAGAAGCACATGATATTTAATAAATAAAGGTAACACACAAAACGTGAAAAAAATGACCCATTGGGCGTAATGTTGTAGAGTTGTAAACACCGAAATCTGGAGAATGTCGACTTTCACCGGTGAATGTCAACATTCATATAGTCGCTTGGTGTATGTCCGAAATATTTTCCAAATGCTCTTATTTCTGACATGGTGAATGTCGACATTCACCATGTACTAATGGTGAATGTTGAACATATAAGAATATTATATTTCTTTCTCCGTAATTCAGTCGCGAAAAAACGCACTTGAGACTCAGAATAAGAACGTAAGAACATAAGAACTTAAAACACACAGTACATTCAAAATGAGAAAGGAAAATAACAGAAGTTATAAAGTTACCAAATTATGTGATTCAAATCTTATTTATTGCAACAACTTAAACTATTCTGACACTTTGAATTGCACAAGAGGCCCTTCCTTTTACATCTGCATTTATTTGTGGAACACTTCCTTTTGGAATGGCAGCATGTACATATACTCTTCTCGTTTCGACCTACACCAGAGCATATCTGTGATTGTCGATATACACTGGTGAGGGTCCGAATGTACAAGAATGTAAAGAAATATTCGATCTTTCACCGACGTATTTGGTGAATGTTGACATTTTCCGGTGAAAGTCGACATTCTCCAATTTCGGTCTTTCACGGTAACAGAGTCATTAGGTTAATTAGAAGCAGACAAGATGAAAAAGAAGCAACCGCCTTTGCCGGGAATCGAACGACGGATCTCTGGAATACCGGCCCAGCGTGCAGAACCACTGCACCACGAAGGACGCTAGGAAAGTGGGAGAAATACCTAATATACTCCCCTTTTTATAGCGCGACTAGGGTTTTAGGGGACCTAGTCGCCAAATCCTGGGTGCGGTGAATCATCATCCACAACCCTTTTAGTTCGGGCGCCAGTTGTAGAGACATTAGGATATTTTTTTGGAAGCCGGACAGATGAAATTTAACAACGCCTTCGCCGGGAATCGAACCACGGACCTCCGGAATACCAGCCTAGCGTGCAGAACCACTACACCACGAAGGAAGCTTGGAAAGCGGGAGAAATACTTTATAATGTAAAATCTGAAAGTTTTCAGATTTTTTTTTTCAAATATTCTTAAATTATCAAATTTATTTTATCTTTATTTTATCTTATGTTTGAAACATGATTTTAATGCCACCATCTAAAAAATAAATAAATAACTAAAAGTGGTTTATCGCATGCTACATGAATCCCGAGTCGTTCTGATAATTAACAAATTCCATTTTAGTAATTTTAATTTCCAAGAAGTTATGATTAACTTGTAGCTGTTAAATTTCAGCAACAAGTTTTACACAAATAGTTTAAAGGCGGAAGACTAGAAAACTCGACCAATTTAATACGAGGGAAGTATTTATATTTTACATTAAAAGCGTGTTTCTGAAAGGGAATATGGTAATTGTTTAAAAAAACCACTAAAAACGGCGTATCACTTTTCAAACTTCGTTTCACTCAAAAATTAATTTTGGTGTTTATTAATGCGTTTTGTCAATTAAAACTTAATTTAAAGTAAGGAATGTTTTTAATATTTTCATTTAAATTAAAGAAAAGAGACTATTAAATGTTAATTTTAAAGTATATGATAGCTTAAGTAATAATCTAAAATGGTACCAAAATGTAAGACGTTACAACTTGAACTTATTTGAATTATTTTTTCTTAAAGTTAATATTAGGGACGCAATATTCCCCGTCCTGTGGAAGTATTCCTTTCGACTCTCCTCCATCCCAAGAAAACGTCGTAAACATAAACGCGCCGCCTGGAAAGGGATAATGAATACTTACTAGTTACATATCTAACTAAGATCTTAGAGGAAACAAATAGTCGGAAAACTCTTGGAAGTGTAACTAGGAAATAATGAATATATCGTTAGGAACTTTGTAGACACATTAGGTTAATTGGAAAAGTCGGAGAGATGAAAAATTAGCAACCGCCTTCGCCGGGAATCGGGGCACGAATCTCTGGAATACCTCTGGAACGGTAGCCCAGCGTGCTACCGTTACACCACGAAGGCACGCTAGGGAAGTGGGAGAAATATCTTATGTACTCCCCTTTTTTAAAGGGCGACTAGGGTTTTAGGGGACCTAGTCGCCAAATCCTGGGTGCGGAGAATCATCATCCACAACCCTTTTAGTTCGGGCGCCACTTGTAGAGACATTAGGTATTTTTGGAAGCAGAAAAGATGAAAAATTAGCAACCGCCTTCTCCGGGAATCGAACCACGGTCCTCTGGAATTCCGGCCCAACGTGCTACCGTTACACCACGAAGGCACACTAGGGAAGTGGGAGAAACACCTTTTAACTTTTACTCTGAATTGAGTTCAAAATCGACAAGCCACCGGTATTTGTGCGCGGATCTATGATATGGTATGGTATTTATATCTGTGGTATGGTATTAAGTTTCGAGCAGCTTTGATCGGATTCCTAGAATTCTCTAAGGAAAGACAATGAGCAAGATATGCTTAATGAGCTAGACAATGTGCAGTTACAAATAATGACTTATCATCCTTTGCTAGAAGAAACACAATTCAATTCAACGAATTTCTATCTTCGAAACATATCTCAGTTTTAGCTTTTGATTTTACGTTTCGTTTTTTGTTCTTAATTTCATTCATTTTTTAAACATTTCATTTCATGGAAGCGGCCAAGGAGCCCTTAGGAGGCCCCATAACACAGATTGCGAACTCTTGTTCTAATATTAAGACACTAAAAGACAGTAATTTCTAAAACTTCAGAAAAGTGTCTTACCTTTGCTGTTCTGATGTGTAGTGAATGTGTATAGTGAGAGTTGTCCTCCCTTTTTATACCTCCTACAACAGCTTTAATTATTCACGTGCCACACTAGAGGGTGAAGGAGACCGAATAGTACATATTTCCTCTACTGTGGACGTGAGTGAAGAAAGTTAAAAAAATGTATGTCAAACCAGCTAATTGTAATGCAATCGGATGTGCAAATGTGTCGGAATGTAACCTTGTCGTGGAAAGTAACCTTTATCCGTCGTTAAACTTGTGGTAGACTAAAGACGAGTTAAGGTATTTGGCATTTATCCTATAAATTCACATTTCAATTCCATAGAAAAAAAAAAATTCAGGGAATTTCAGGGCGGTTGTTGATGTAAGGTATCTAAACGAAAACCCGAATAAATTGCAGGAAATGTACTCTAGTTTCGGTCGAAATGGATAATCCTGCTAGAATTACAACTTACTTTCTTAAAAGTATTTGAAAAAAAAATATAGGTATATTTAGCCTAAATATTACTATAATTTCTTTTATGTTTATAACTGGCATGATCAAATTAATTAATTTATTTAAATTAACTTAATTAAGTATTTTGATAAATACGTTTTAATTCATCAAAATATTTCAAAAGTACACAACGATTTACAGCAATATCTAAGCAATAATCATGAGTATTGCTCTGAAGTATACAAGTGCTGCATACAGACATCACTCTTAATTCAATTAGCGTCGTCTGACAGAAAATGGAAAAAATGAAGGGGCTTTGAATTCGAAAATTAAAACTGGGTTTAAATTTTCGTGTACATTCTTTGCCCACAAGCGGCCGAGCGGTAAAGTCGCTGAACACTGGTAGTTCGGTCCGAGGTTCGAATCCCGCGAACGGACTGACTGCATGGGTGTTTTCGTGGTTTTGCCCTTGAGTAACGTGTATACGAGTCAGTTTCCCTTAGAAAGTTCTCCACGAAGGCATCCCTCCCCTTAGGCAGATAGCCCTCGAGGCTTTGCTGTAATTAAATAACCTAACGTAATAACCTAACTTGTGAACATAGTTTCTGATTTAATTAGAACATGCGTCTGTAATAACAAAAAGAATAAAAAGTAGTGTTTCAAAAGTTGGAAAACATTCAGAATTAAAGTTAAAAAAGCTCAAATGAGTTTACTTTGAAACTCCATCAAGATGAATCAGATAAGGGTAAAGATGCATAAATTTCTAGTATGAATTTTGAAATGTATTTCAAAATTCAACCTGCACTTGAATGTACCTGAAGAAATCCCATTTGCATTTTTATGTTTGCCATTCCGTTGTCAGCTGACTTCATGCCCACGTATGAATTTATCATTAGTTTGCAAAAAATTAGTCATCTAACAAGAGAAGGAAAATTGATTTCAAATGGACTTCTTTAAGATGTACCTCCTTCAACTCTTCCTGCGAAAGAACCTTAGGAATTTGGGTAACCGTTTAAATCTGAAACCTTTCAGATTTTCTTCACGTTTATAGCCCAAAAGAGGTGTTAATTTCGAATGAGATATTAGTCTCAAAGCTGCATTTTGCAATGAGTCACTGAAAACGGTTTAACAATTTCCAAACTGTTGCCAATTACCCTGTACTATATTTAAAGAGATACAATAATGAAGAATATGTATGTATATATGTATTTCCCTCGCAGTGCGAAAAACAACGGTACTAAAGCTATTCAGTTTTTAATAACGTACTCGTCCACCCGAACATGGGTACATGGAAGCCCGGATTTTGAATTTCGAATTTATATCATTATCTGTTTATTATTTTGTAAAACTTTAATGAGTTTTTGATTAACCAACTCAACGATTTCAAAGTGAGCAGTGGCAATAACCATGAACATCTTTATCTCCAGCACTTTGAATAAAACATTTTTATCTCCAGGACTTTCAATAAAACATTTTTATCTCCAGCATGCGAGACAGTCTATCGGAAATTCTAAAGATACCCTGTTTCTAAATATTTCTTTATTTTGCTGTTAAATTGTGGCGTAAGTGCGAAGAACGTGATATCTCTACATATAATAAAAGAAAGAGTTTATCTCTGTGTGTGTGTGTGCTGCGCGTAAGCTAACAGACCCACAGCTACGAAATTTGGTACTTAGGTGCATCTAGACAAGAGCCAGTGCACCTCGAAGCGATTTTTTCAAAATTCGAATAATTTTTTTTTTTTTTTTTTTAATTATTATTTTATGTTTTGTAACGAAATCGCGTCATTTTGAGACATAATGGGCTATAGGAAAGCGGGAATTGACTCTACATACTCCATTTTCACATCGTCATGAAACGTAGTCAGTTAGCTATTTTACGAATATAAAATAAATTTCGTGTTCAATAAATCGATTCAATACGAATTTATTTAACAAAGGGAGCTTAACACCTTTTCAACGGGATTTTTTCTAAAAATGTTTATTTTTAAAAATGTACAGTTTATTTTTCTTTGAGTTTTGGACACGTTAAACTTTCATCCTTGCGATTGCTTTTACAAAAAGAATTTTGGAAAAATGATAATATTTTGTATTTAAAAAAAAATTTAAATGCTCCCGAGTACATTTCTCACATCTTTCAAAATGTGATTTTGGCAACAATTTTCCTTTCTTATTGTTGTTGATAAATTTTTGATGAAATCGCATCATTTTGAATAGTTTCATTCTTTTAGAAATATGGGTTTGGCAACAATTTTTAATCGTATTTCATATGTCACCGTTTTTAAGAGATTGGCATATTTCATTGTCATTTATATATATATATGTAATACATTTTTATTGATTTTTTTGATAAAGTTGTTCCGTAGAGTAAAATTCTGCGCAGAATTTTATGTTTTTTGAGTTGCTTTCATGTTATTTTTTGCTTATTTCACTGTTTGTAAGATATTGAAAGGTTTTGCATGATTTTTTTTCTTCAACGGAAAGTTGGTTAATTTTTTTATTAGAATAATTAATATTTGCATTAAGGGATATAGCTTATTCCATTGTAATTTTTTTTCTCTTGAAAATGTAAGATAAAATATCATTAATTATACTTTGCGTTTCAAACTTTTTTTGTATTCTTTTATATTATTTATTGCTCATTTCACTGTTTTTAAGATATTGAAAGGTTTTGAGTGTTTTTTTAGGAAACAAAGTTCTTAACCTCCTTTATACCATTTCAGTTCTTAATATTTGGCATAGGGAAGTTAGTTAATTTATTTATTAGGCTAAGTAATATTTGTATTAAGGGATATCGCTTATTTCATTGTAATTTTGTTATACGTAATAATTTTTTTATGAATTTTTTCTGCAGAGTAAAATTCAACGCAGTTTTAAAATTTAACGTTTGGTGTTTCCTTCAGCCATTTTTCCGGTACATTTAAAAGCCGGACGAAGGATGGCAGCGAAGCGGCTAGTTTAATGAATAAAGTAAACACCTAACACATTAATAATAAGTAGACGAAAAAATGGTTTAAATCCATATTAGTTAGAAAGCTGAACATTGATATGATGAACTGAGTAAAGACTTTAAAAAAACCGAAAATCGTTATACCAACACATAACATTGCATAGGGAATTCTAAGCATATGATGCTTATAAAATTGGCGTAAATGCGAAGAAAATGATGCTTAATAATAAGGCTAAAAAGATAAAAATTGTTTAGTAGGAGTGAGTGTAACAGCAAAGTTGTAGACCAGGAAGTAAGCGAGAGCGTAAAAACCTTAACAAACAATTTTGGACTGACGTTAAAATCTGAAATCTTTCAGAATTTCTTTTCTTTCTCGTTGTTTTTTGTTTTGGCTTTTTCTGTTCTATGTAAAATTTTCATTCAGTATACTTGTATTTGTTGATAATTGGTTTCTGTCGTTACACTTAAAGCAGATTTTCCATCTGGCAACTCTTACCGAGCATCTCGTAAATGAGCCACAGTATAATTCCTTATCAAATAGTAAAATACTTATTATGACTGTAAGATAGTATTTTCAACTATAAAGTTTTACAGTAAGAAATATATAGTATAGATTCATTAGGCTAATTGGAAGCAGGAAAGATGAAAAATATGCAACCGCCTTCTCCGCGAATGGAAGCACGGACCTCTGGAATACCGGCCCAGCGTGCTACCGTTACACCACGAAGGCACGCTAGGGAAGGGGAGAAATACCTTATATACTCCCCTTTTTAAAGGGCGACTAGGGTTTTAGGGGACCTAGTCGCCAAACCCTGGGTGCGGAGAATCATCATCCACAACCCTTTTTAGTTCGGGCGCCACTTGTAGAGTCATTAATTAGGGTTTTTTTTTTTTTTTTTTTTTTTTTTTTTTTGAGACCGGAGAGATGAAAAATATGCAACCGCCTTCGCCGGGAATCGAACCACGGAGCTCTCTGGAATACCGGCCCAGCGTGCTGAACCACTACACCGCGACGGACGCTAGGAAACTGGGAGAAATACCTTATATACTCCCCTTTTTAAAGGTCGACTAGTGTTCTTAGGAGACCTAGTCGCCAAATCCTCATCATCACAACCCTTTTAGTTCGGGCGCCACTTGTAGATACATTAGATTAATTGGAAGCGAACAAGATGAAAAAAAAAGCAATCACCTTCGTCGGGAATCGAACCACGGACCTCTGGAATACCGGCCCTGCGTGCTACTGTTACACCACGAAGGCACGCTAGGGAAGTGGGAGAAATGCCTTATATACTCCCCTTTTTAAAGGTCGACTAGTGTTCTTAGGGGACCTAGTGGCCAAATCCTCATCATCACAACCCGTTTAGTTCGGGTGCCACTTGTAGAGACATTAGATTAATTGGAAGCCGACAAGATGAAAAAAAAAAGCAATCACCTTCGTCGGGAATCGAACCACGGACCTCTGGAATACCGGCCGAACGTTCTACCGTTACACCACGAAGGCACGCTAGGGAAGTAGGAGAAATACCTTATAATAGTTACATATAATAAGCCAGTTTAAACCATAGTTGTTATGAAGCTCCAACATGGCAGTCGGTGACAGTTCAACATCGCCACCTGAACAGGTATATAGCTTTAATTTTACTGGCTT